GCGCCCCCCCGCCACAGCAGTGCTGCTGGCAGCAGATGAGACACAGGCAGCGGCTGCCAAAATCCGCAGCAAAGATGCACCCAGATTCCCACGCTGGCGTGCTTCCATCTGGGCTGCTGAAGTGCTGGGAAAAAGAGAAGCAGAAGCAGACATTGGAGAGGAAGGAGGGAATACCTGCTCAGCAGAATTCCTTAAGAGCAGTCCATTATACACTCTTACTGCCCAAGTACAGTCATTATACTGGTGTTATGCAGCGTAGCCGGGGGTTACACCACAGAAGAAAGAGGGATCAGGAGGAGAGGAGAAAAGAGATGCCAAGGACTGCACCACCTTTATTGACTCTGCAGTCACCTCCCAGCTGTCTGAAAAACACTAAAGGAAATAAAAGCATAGTTGAATGAGAATTCCAAAATCCCTAAGGATCAAAGAGCAGTTTCTAAACATGCACGCTTCTTGAGAAAGACTGGAAAGAAAACCTGCCCTCCCTGTTCACATTTGCTGTATCTAAGCTTGCTCCACATGCTGTGGGCACCTGTACTTTGATCTGCAGTTTCAGCATGCCGCAATGGACTAATTTCAAAATAATTGCATTATTTTGAAATAAAGCTCAACTAGCAATAATCTCCCCTTAATATTTCAAAATCCTTTCTAAGTAATACTTTACTCCCTCCAAGCGTTGTGTTTCACCTTACGTGGGAAGGAAGGTGCTGTTGTCTTCTTGGTATCCAGTGATGGGACATGTGGGAATGATTCAAAGCTGCCTGAGGGGAGGATGAAACTGGACACAAAGGAGCATTTCTTTACCAAGAGAATGGTCAGACACTGGAACAGGCTTCCTAGAGAGGTGGTCAATGCCCCAAGCCTGTCAGTGTTCATGAGACATTTGGACAATGCCCTTAACACACTTTAACTTTTGTGTCAGCCCTGAAGCAGCACAGGCAATCGGACTAGATCATCACTGTACATCCCTTCCAACTGAGATATTCTACTCTGTTGCCGAGACCTTTAGAAACAATTCTTCCATAGGGGGGTGGAGGCAGGAACAGGGTCCTCAGCCACATGCAGCTCCATCCTCCCCAGCCTTGGCAGCAGGAACTCTCCTTCTTTTGAGGGGACATGACAGCGAGATGAAAGTCTCTTCCAGCAAGATCTGGGCATGACCCCAAGGCACCGAAGCATGCAGGGCCCAGGCTGGGTGGCCAAGTCCCCATGGGGATGACCTCCCTAAGCACTGGACTCCAGAGACCGCCGGTCTCACTGGGAGCACGGCAGTGCTGGAGCAAGCAGGTCTGCTGCAGCACATCAGGCACATCCTTTGGTACAGGGTGAGTGGCTCCCAAACAGATCCAGGAGACAAGGGGACACCACAGCCTCTCCCACTGGCCAGACACAAGTTGCTTCAAGATACGTGGTCAACACATGGAATTCCCTAGATACAAAAGCAATTGCAAGCCTGGAATTTCTCCACTCCCTCGCACCCTGTAGATGAAGCTGATGGCTGTTTTCCTCCCTCTGAAAGGTCATTCCTGCCAGGCACAGCCTCACAGGCCTGTCTTTCACACCCCACTCTGCCACTTCTCTGGACAAGAGAGCACCAAGGGGAGCTGTGAGACTCCAGAGCTCCTGAGGTGCAAGACTTGGGGAAGGGAGATTATCATGGCTACCACAGTCCTCACACACTGTCAGAATAGGCAGCTAATTAGGTCACATTATAATTAGCCTGAGCTGCAGACCTCCTGGTCCCTCTGCCAAAAAAAGATACCCACCCCAAGAGCTGCCTATTCCCAGCACCCACAACAGACACCTGTACCCCATCTCCAAGGGAATGGTGCCAAAATGGGGGGATGTTGCCAAGAGAAGTCTTGGACAAGAAAAGGAAAAGTGAGCCCAACCATGGCAGCAAAAGCAAGGAACATCATTTCTGCTTTGGAAGGACGCTCCTGGTACAGCCTGCAACACAGAACACCTCGGTGAAGCACTGGATTTTGAGAAGCCCCATGTTCAGACAAGCCCTTTGCTTCCATCCTGGCACACAGTGGTCAGAGCCACCAGCTGTACTGTGGAATGCCCTGGCAGACACCAGAGCAGCTGCTATCACCAGCAACTCCCTCTTTCTGGCTGGAGCACCTTGGCCCAGCCCATACTGCGCCCAGGTCCCACAGGCTCACATTTAGTCAAAACTATAGATTTAGAAGTCTGGCTAAACTGATTAGAAACACTTCTGGATGGGAAGTTTCATAGTGGAAACTTACATCCTGTGGCAGTGAGAAGATACATTCCTGTCTGTCCAAAGTTTATTTTACCATTACTAAGAAAGATCCTAGGTTGTGGTGGCCAAGGCCAATAAGCCATATAGAGAATAAAAACCTTAATCACATTAACTCAAGCTCTGACTGGCAGGAATTAAGGGGAACATTTCCTCTCCTCACAGAGCACATGGTGTGAGCTGAGACTTGAAAAGAGGTCGCTGGCAGCAGATGGAGCAAAGACCAGATCCTCCACCACTGCAAACGCCAGGTGCCTGTAACAGAGGGAAAACCAGGGCAGGGTTTTCCATGAGACTGTCCGGGGAGCAGCAGCCCAGCTTCTTTCCCTTTTGGCAGAACCAGCCGGCACTCAGCTGCAGTAGTCATCACAGGGCATGCAATGTTTCCCAGCTACATTGACCATCTGATTAACATTCAACTGCAAAACCTAGGTTTCCCAACTTACAAGGCTGGCGTTTAATGAGCTCATTGTCGAAAAATTCGGCTGCAATTCAGCTCTTCCACTTTTTATTCCCCAAACCACCGCTGTTCCTTCCCTTATCCCTATTGAGGCAGTGCTGCTGCCCACTCCAGGCTCTCACCCGCAGCTTTTGGGCACTGCAGCTGCCTGCATCGTTTGTCTTCCTACCCTCGCAGTGCCATGTCTCAGCGCTCCGCAGAGTTGGACCCCTTTAGCCATGGTCAAAAGGGACAGACAGGAGCAGGCAGAACAGCAACCTCACCCATCCCGCTTCCCTTCCCGCGCCCGCCTGCCGACAAAACACTGCCTGTGCAACAAAGAACTCCGGTGAGCTCAAAAGACCCACTGCCTGGTCTCCTGCAGCAACAGCCCCACATGGGGCCAGCAACACCCTGTAGCATCAGGAGCGCTTAACCAGGCTCTTGGTCTCCTCGCAATGACCCCAGCCTCCAGGGTGCCGAGGGCAGCTTTCACATAGGAAGATAAAAACCTAACAAGTTACAAGCCCTGCTGCCATCACCTCTATAAGCAGAGATAGGTCTTTGACATTGTCCCATGAAAGCCCACGTAGGTTCTCTGTGGTCCTGCCTCATGCCAGGCAGCAGCTCACCCCCAGCCCGGCAGCCAAGCCTGCTTGACCCCTCTCCTTGGGGCTGAGAGAACATCGATCCCCAGGAGCACAGGGGTTTGTGGTGCCGGAGGGAAACCCGAGCACAAAAAGCTACCTAGGTACGGTCCAGCACGGGGCTTGTAGAGAAAAGGCAAGGATCATGGTCCCAGGAAAAGCCGAGCCTTTCTGTTTACAGAAGCAACTCTCTGCATTGCCACCAGCAGCTTGACGCCAACACAAACCTTCCTGCCAGGAGGTGATCCCTATTCTAGCCCCCAGGAAGGGAAAAACAAGAGGAAGCTTTGTTTGGGTGCACAGGAGGAACACCAAGCCTGGCAAACAGGACCGTGGAAGGAGCTACTGCACTACGAAGCAGAGCTGCAAGGGATGTTCAGGGTCACAGTTGTTGAAGGCAGATCCCCAGCATTGCTGCGAGGCCCCTGGACACAGAGTGTCCCCCAAACCCACAGCATATGGGTGCCACCACGAACAGCAGTCGTCCGAAACCCAGGTAGACAAGAGGCAACACCAGGCCGTGAGCTAAGCAGAGAGCTCAGCTCCAGCCCCGAGTCCGGGGCAAAACCCACGGACCACCTCCCCCCACACCCACCCGAAAAAGCGCAAGGACAATGTGGGGATCAGATGGCGCTGGTAACACGCCGCAGCTTCTTCCAGCCCGACCGCAAAACCGCGAAGAAATGCAAATATCTAGCCAAGAGCAGGCAGCCTCTCTCCAGATGTCCCCCCAGGGAAAAGCACTGGGAGGGCCCGCAGGGGGAAGGCAGAGCCCCAAACCCGACGGCCGGACCCCACGGGTCCAGGCAAGCGAGTTCTCCCCCCTCCCGCCCCACTCACAGGCGGAACATGCGCTCCATGTCCTTGATCTGCCGGCGGCTGAACTCCTTGAACTCGGTGTAGGGGTTGAAG